CATTCACTACAATTATGAAAGAAGTACAGATAACCCTTTCTTAGCAACTACTTGTTCAGTGACCATTCAGAGTTATGCCAGTGATGGTCAAGGACACTTATAAATGGTCCTCAGAGTTGTGGCTATCACTTGTCCCTGCGTTCAGAATAAATGGTCCTCAGAGTTGTGGCTATCACTTGTCCCTGCGTTCAGAATTCAATTTGGGCTCTGGTATAGTTGTGATGGTCTCAGTATCCTGTGGTCATGTAATTGCAATTTGTGATCTTCACTGCTGACTTTTGACAAGCAAAGTCAGTGGAGAAGCTTTTAGGAAATCATAAGTCAGAGTCCTGTGATGTCACCCTTAACAACTGTTCACAGTTTAATGATCACAACCAGAATTGCTCTAATAAGCTTAGACATGTGATTTTTGACTTTATGACTGTGCCACATAGCAACAGAGATTCCAGTCCCAATTATGATCATTAACTGATTACTCCCTGTACATAGAAGTGCTTGGTCATATAGAGAGTATGAATGAGATCCACAGTGCAAAAATAAAATGCACAAAGGAAGTAAATCATCTGAGAGACAGTGAAAGACTGAGAAAATTGTGTTTGTATAAAGTTGAAGAGTTAAAATGAGGGAGGTGAGATGTTTAAAGAAAAAAATGCACTGTATAAATCAGTGTAAGGACTATATAGTTAAGTGTGGCCCTAGAATTTTGAGAGTCTATAAGCTCTCTGTTATAAGCTAAATCTATGTGAAACATTTTCTCCCAAAAGCTTAGCATTTACATCTATAGTAGTTCTCCTGTATTAGGTGCTTTCCTTTTTCTGTGTAACAATTACATTTATTTCTCTAAAGTATCTTGCTACTTGCATAATTCAAATTGTCTTCTTGCTTTAGCTTTTCTCTTTCTTCTTCCAGGTGGATGATTATGACATGGTGTCATCTTGATCTTCTCTAGAAAAGAGATGGGAGTCAAATTAGAATTCATAAACAAAGAAACCTTACAATAATATGATTGGGAGCAAGGCTTATTTTATTTTTACTCTTTCACCTTGTCTTTGGAAAAGCTTTGTGAAAGTTAAATAAAGACTCACAATTGCTTTAGGTGGTTAGAGAAAAAATGTGTTACAATAGATAAGATTTTTTAAAAGTTTTTTTGTCGGGTACGGTAAATTTTTTCACGCATTTGTTTTTAAATAGTCCCTGGATTATTCCAAAATAATAATTTAATTTATATGCTGGAGAGGTTGTGGAGTTTTCAGCATGGAAGGGAAGGATTAGCTTTTAGAGTTAAGCTATTTGAGCAATGAGAACTTTTTAAGGACTTTAAAAAACAAATGGTAACTAGGGAAGGTTGAGGCTGAGGCTAAAAGAGTGCGTTTTATGACATACAAAGAAGATTTATATGAAAGCATTATTTACTGTTTTAAAAAATTACTTTTCTTTTGATAAATATCGTGTCTATATGTTTTGATATTAAGAATTATGTAGCCTTCAGCAACTGCTTAACACTTCTCAGAGGCATCTGATGGGTTACCATCAAACAGATTGTTGGATTAGATAGGCCTTGGGCAAGGCTGATTTTATGTTCTTGAGAATAACTAGCATAATTTAAAAATGTCCATTAATCTGTAATAGTTTTTATCACAAAATCCTAGTGGACATAAATCTCTGAAAACCTTAATTTATTGAGTTTATAAAGTGATCTTCTTTATTTTCAAAAGTTCAAGGTCTTACTTCAGCAATAGTTCTCAGTTTGGATTCAGGTACAATCAAATAGTAACTTAAATCTGGGTTTAGTGGAATTTGATGCCACAGATGAGTTTTCATTCAGACATTAACATGAAATAACTGGTAAATCCATTATTTAGGGAAGCAGTCTGGACACTGGTTGCTGCTTCAACTAAAAAGATGAGTATGTTCCCGTGCAAGATTTGCATTTGATAAGGCTGCAGGTGTAGATGGTGTAGCTGGAGAAATGTCGACACATGGATGCATTGTGCATATGGAGAGGATGTGTGTCTTGTTTAACATCAGATCTGCATGGAAACTGCAACTGTGCATAATGGTTGGAATAATGCTCTTATTATTATTCTGTACGAAGTGAAGGGTGGGAAAAAACAACTGACAGCTCAGAACAAAACACAATTCTCATTTGTGGCAGAATTTTCCAAGACAGGATTTGTCTTCATTGTCAGAAAAAATATAATTGACTTTGCATGCAAATACTAAAGTTTGGAGACAGCATAATCTCTTTTGAAACTTAATCATCTCAAAAAATCTCTATTTTTTAACAAAGCCAAATTCTCTTCAAACCTCTTCAGGTCTCTGCATCTGTTTCCCCTTGGGCATACTGAGAACAGTTAAATCTTTACTTAGACTGATTTGATTCTTCAAATACGGAAAACAACAACATATGTGTTTGCCTTGATGTTTTAGATTGGTACCAGAGGATGTGGGAATGGATGTCCTTAATGAGGCCATGCTAGATTCCTCTGCAATAGAGATGAGACCTGGTGAGTCTACATTTTAATTATCTTTTTAAAAGTTTCATTCTCTCCTGGGGCATTTAATTATTCACCGACTGAACTATTTCTGTACTGTGATAATATTATTTATTTATTTGGAATAAAAATGGTTCAATTTTGATATTTAATTAATTCAATGGTTCCCTTGATCATCATTTGCAGTTCTCATCCACTTTCTACCGTGCTTAATTTCATTAGGCTGCAAATGAACTTGCTGCATATGATAATTAGCTACACTGCACTTTCTTCACTTCAGCCTGTACAGATTTAGCTTCTATTTACCAGTAAAAACAACACAATTAAAATTGCTGCCTAAGGTGTCATCAGTTAGAAAAGAAGTCTTTGACATATTAGATTATTCCTCAGCCATTGCATTAAATCCAAGACCAGGGAAGATATAAATGGCAACTTCCCAGGATTTGAGTAATCATGTTTCAGGAAAAGTATACCAGGGAAGGGGGATTTTACAGCTGTGCATAAAATCTTCATATTTGTTCTGTTAATTAGAGAGGAACTGATGCCTTATCAGACGTAACAAAAATAGACACAGGTTGGCTGGCAACAGCTTTCTGTTCCAATTGAAATGTTATCCTTATTTGAATTGTAAATACAGTATCTTCTGTATCTGCTATTAAATATTGGGTCCAGGTCTTCATAAGAATGCTTTGCGATAATGAAGGCTGCAGTTCATGCATTTCTAAGGATGAAGTGGCTGTGTTACTTCACTTTGGTCCTTCACTGCTTCTACTGGTCCTTGCTGTAGCTGATGGGAGCTTCAAGACAAATACCAGTCAAGGAAGATTTATCAGTGAGACCCATCTAATTGAAACATTACATTGCCTTTTTGTGCTAACAAAAAGAATCTTGTTCATCTTCTGTCTGAAATGGGTTCGTCCATCAGAACAAAGGGTGTAATTTATCCTGATAATGGAGAGAAGATCCTTCGCAAAGCAAGATAGGGTAGCTCTGGTTGGTACCTCATTCCTTCCATATCATGAAGCTCTTCATCCAGGCCCACTTCACCTAGGCCTTCTTGTTTCCTGGAGTCACATAGAACTATTAGATATGTTGAATAATTTTTAAAAAGTCGAATTAATTTAAATGCTACATTTGGAGTAATAGTTTTAACCTAAAACAGAGATTCTTCTCTTTCCGTCCTTATTCAGAACCTCCCAATTCGCTAGACCTTAAAGGCTCTCATCCCAGAAGGATAAAGCTCACTGCTCCAAATATCAATCTCTCTTTGGACCAGAGTGAAGGATCTGTCCTTTCGGATGATAACCTGGACACTCCAGATGAAATTGATATTAATGTAGATGATCTTGACACGCCAGATGAAGCAGATTCTTTAGAATATGCTGGACATGGTAATGAGTTTAATTTGTGTGTTTATTATGGGAGGAGGTATACACTTCGGCATGAAATTTTACAATTTTCTAGGAACCGAGCCATCAGCTCTTGAAGACATATGTGCAGTATAAAAATGAACAGCTCTAAGGAAAAGCAGAACATGCTTATATATGTGTGTATGTGATAGATGATAGATAGATAGATAGATAGATAGATAGATAGATAGATAGATAGATAGATAGATATCAAATTGTAGAGTCAGATGTTGGTTATTTGTATACAATAGTTTTGGAAGATTAAATGGCTTATCTGTTAAATTGGATAGCAGGAAAATTCTAATATTAAGGATAAATAGTATTTCTAGTTCAGTTATTTTTAAAGATTCCAGATGCAAGTATAAACTTCAGAGGATACATTCTTATATGCAGCTGTGATATTCATATATATTATGTAATCCTAATCCTAAAATGTAATACATGTTTTGTTTTAGAACTATAGATTTCTCTCTTCTTCTATCATGCCAAAGGAATCTAAATACCAGCAGAGGTCTTTTGAAACCATTTTGTATATAATTTCTTCATAATTATTTGGCTCTCCTTTGATTTTTTTCACAGATTACATTGTTCCTACAAATAATCCAATTTAAGCACATGTTGATTATTAACTTCATTATGTTAGAAGGATTAAATGGAAGAGGGTTAATTTATATTTAATATCTGTAAGATTATTGTTATAATGTAACGAGTATTACAGTAACTAAAACCTTGAAATTTAATTGTTACATAATGAATTATGAATTCCTCAGTCCTTTAGAACACAAAAAAAGTACAAAAAATTTCAATTGATGCAAAGTTAGGGTTATTCCAGATTTGTAGTCTTGAGCCCCAAATATCACAAATCACATATTTGTGATTCAAGACTATAAATTGTTTACTGCTTATGATCTTGCTATCATTGTAATGGAAGAACTACTGTGTATTACTTTATGTGGTCAGTCTTAACAATACATTCTGGGTCTCTCATCAGGATATCATTTTCCTACCAGGTGAACAAGCAAGAAATTAAATATTTAAGTTAATTTTATATTCAGAAAATGAATGGGAAATATCGGAAAGCAATAAATACACATATACACATACACACATACATAGAAAATGACATGTTACAATAAAATTTAAAAAGAAGGTTTATTCATGGAACTTTTGAGAATTATGTCATTCAATTAATTGTATAATTGATTTCAGAGTTAAATGCAAAAATTCAGTTTTGTTCCTGGATGAAACAGGCTTTTTTTATATTAATGGCTACTTACTTAAATCTTCTACTCTTGTATTTTCAGAAGAGCAACCAGTCATTAAAGAACCTTCTCAAGAAGAATCTGAATCCATCCCAGAATATACTGCTGAAGAGGAACGGGAAGACAACAGGTTATGGAGAACTGTTGTTATTGGAGACCAGGAGCAGAGGATTGATATGAAAGCAATTGAACCTTTTAAAAAGGTTATTTCTCATGGAGGTATAGAAAAATTATGTTTTATTAATTATACTAGCATAGAGTAATTATAAAACACTTGAAAGTATCCTAATTTCTAAATGGTCTTGCACATCTAACATAAATTTAGGATGTGTTTCCTTTGAATAAAACAGCATTTGTGAATTATTGAATGAATTCCTTCGCTACTGAAAACTCTATAATGTATCCATAACAACAGAATACTTTTGATGTGAAATATGTGAGTTGATGAGTCATTAAATAATTTTATTCTGGGCATGGTATGCTCCAGTTTCCAGATCTCTGATTCACACTTTCAAAGGAAAGACAGCTTAAAAAAGAAAAAAAATGAGAGAAGAAAACACAACATATTCAGTATTTATGGTACAACTCCAGGCCTGTGTATTACAGGAACATTTCATCCTATTGAATGTTTGCTTTGAAATTAATATGTGGTGTGAAACTAGCCATGGTTTGTATACCATAGTCCTGTGATGGTGAACCTAGGGCATGTTTGCAGAGGTGGCATGCAGAGCTCTCTCTGTGGGCATGCACACTGTCACCAGCTGCTCTTTCGTGTTCTGGCACATGCATGCGCACTGGAACCCAGAAGAGAGCAGGTGTCTGGTGTGCATGCGCACTATGAAACCCAGAAGAGCTGCTGGCTGCCACGCACATGTGCACCGGCCAGATGCTCTCTTTCAGATTCTGGCACTTTGGTGCACGCACTCCAGTTTCGGCATTTGGTGCCAAAAAGGTTAGCTATCACTGCCATAGTCTATGGTGGAGTATAAGCACCCACAGCAGCATATGCCCCCTAAAAGCTACTTGGACAGCTTCAGAATCTCTAGAAGCTGTCTCCAAAGGAGAAATAATTACAATATGAGAATAGTATATTCATTTTACTTAATTAATTTGTTTTTAATTAAACCCAGCCATTGGTGCCAATGCACCAATCATAATCTTCAGTTAGAAAAGCTGGCTATCATTGCTCTATAGCATAGTATGATGTGTGAAACCAGACGTTGTTAGTTCAATAATTCATGGTTAAAAAAAATATGGTTTAATGCAATCACAAACATAGCCAGATTTACTGAGGCTATTGTAAGGTATGTCAAGATGTCGATTACTGCAAGTTTGTCCCTACATGTCATTTAAACCAGTATGTTGTGACCAGGTTTGCATGTTCTGAGACTAGGATTTTGTAGCAAAACACATGTCTTGAAAGAAAAGTTATTTCTTTTTCAGCGTTTAACTGCTGCAATTTAGACCCGATGTGGGATGTGTAGCAGTGGTTTATATCAGCAGTATCTCTATGCCAACCTGATAAGAGTTTCATCCAGGTGTAGACAATTCCTTTGGATTGCTTGATGAGTGAACAAGCTTATAGATCTGGGCAGGGCCCTGTAGGCAGGGGTGGGATTTAGCCAGTTCAGACTGGTTCAGGCGAAACGGTAATTCCGATGAGCAGTTGACACTGCCCACCCACTCCTGCCCTTTCCCGTCCTATATTTTCCTGTTTTTTAGCTCAGCTGATTCGCGCGGCACAGCGGATTGCTGCGCGTCAGCTGTTTTACTCACTGGCGCTGACATAGAAGGTAAGTTTTTAAGTTTAAAATGGGCAGTTTTTGAACGCTATGTGGGTGTGCAAAGCACGTTAGGTCCATATGTGTGCAAAGCACACATACGTGCACTCACCAAACCAGTTGTTAAACTGGTTGCATCCCTCCATTGCCTGTAGGTATGGTAGAACGGTATGAGTTCAAGATTTTCAGGACTAGCATCTGTTCTTTCCGGGGTTCTTCCGGGTTTTTTTTTTTTCCATTTACTCTACTTACTTATTAGAGTTTGTAATTTCTAGAATTATTTTGAATTGAGACTTTCATAACAGATTATGCTATCAATTCGCCAAATGAGAAACTTCACCCGAGACATTCTTACGTCAAATAGGAAGATGTCATGAGACATTCTGGTTTGAAGTAGCTTTGTCAATGGTTCAGTGTTGTTGAATACTTTACATTGAGATTCCCAGGTTGCTTTTCTCATTAAAATGTTACCAAATATGCCACTATGCTTTTGGTTTGCTTCCCAACTTGCTTTAGCATATTTGATACTTATGTCCCCTGAACATGAATTATGCAACTGGTAATGCGGGGGGGGGGGGACTTCAATTGTTTATGAAACCTTCCAATTCTATTGTGTTAAGAACTGTTTGTGAGATATATATTTTTGACTCCACAGGATACTATGGTGATGGCTTGAATGCCATCATTGTATTTGCTGCATGTTTTCTACCGGATAGCAGTCAAATGGATTATACATATGTCATGGAAAACCTTTTCCTGTGAGTGTGGAAATATTGTAGTAAAATTCTTTCATGTGGTGAAATAGATGATTTTCATTAAGAGATAAATGCAGCGTTGAAATGGGTTCCTTTGTTGCTTAGTTCTTTTGAGGCAAACAGAAATTTGGTTTGTATAAATAAAATAAAATGAAATAAAATATACTACAATGGAAAGAAGCCACAGGGAAGTGATTCCTGTTTTGCCACAGTTAAGAGTGAATTGAGCCTTGATATTTAAAGCAAGTTTTTCTTGAAGTGCCCCTAATCTTCCATGGCTGAAGTCCTGAATTCCATAATACAGATAGTCCTCAGCTTACCACAATTGAGCTCAAAATTTATGTTGGTAAGTAATTTTGCCCCATTTGACCTTTCTTGCCACAACTGTTAAGTGAATCACTGCAGTTGTTAAATTAGTAACACAATTGTTAAATGACTTCCCTATTGACCGCTTGTCAGAACGTTGTAAAAGTTGGGACATTGCAACAGTCAGAAATATTAACCAGTTGCTGTGATTTTAATTTTGATCACATGACCATGAAAATGTTGCAGTGATTGTAAGTCTGGTAAATGGTCGTAGGTCATTTTTTTCAGTGCTGTTGTGATTTTAAACATTCACTAAGTTGAGGACTACCTGTAAAACTATAATTTCTCATTGTGGGAAAGCCACATAGGTCAGGAGTTCTGTCTGAATTTCCAGACTATATTCTTGCTTTGAATCCTGTCCCTGAAATGCTCCTAACTTCTCTACCAATGGAGTGAGTTTAATAATTTATTTATACTGCAGTTTTCATGCCCTGAAGAGTATAATTAGCATGGGCTTCTTATTTAAATATTTCACATTCCCAAAGGAGTGACCTGTACTATGTAGGTTACTTAGCGTATGGGTGGAATTATACTTTTAATGAAGAACTCCCTCAACTGCCAATTTTGTTGCTGGAAATTATGTATTTGCTTAAGTGCTAAAACATAAGGCAGTATTTCTCGGTCTTAACAACTTTTAAGATGTGTGCGCTTCAACTCCCAGAATTCCCCAGCCAGCTGAAGTCCACATACCTTAAAGTTAATATTTTAAAGATCCTAAGGTTAAAAAAATACTGGCATAGGAAAAAAAATGCTTGTGAAAATATTATTTTTCTCCTCCTCCTCCTCCTCCTCCTCCTCCTCTTCCTCTTCTTCTTCTTCTTCTTCTTCTTCTTCTTCTTCTTTTTGTTTAGATATGTAATAAGTACTTTGGAGCTCATGGTTGCTGAAGACTATATGATTGTTTACTTAAATGGAGCAACTCCAAGGAGAAGAATGCCCGGACTCGGATGGATGAAAAGATGTTACCAGATGATTGACAGGCGGTTTGTGGATCACTTATATTTTCTAATTATTATTTTTCTTAGGCTATTTACTATTTTAAATCCTCTTGCCCCCTTCTTTTTAAAAGCAAGCTGTTGCTTGTGAGTATCACTAAAGATTAAGAATACATTTTAGAATGCATGTCAAAAGCGTGTGAATCAGTGTGTGATAGTGGCCATAGTTGTTGAACATGTGATTATTATTTTTCTCAACCAATGTGTTTCATACTGAAGACTTAGGCCCAGTGTTCTTCAATATCTTCATAAAGAACTTAGATGAGGGAATAGAAGGGATCTTACCAAATTTGCGGATGAAACTCAGTTAGCAGGAATAGCCTACATGGTAGGCTCAAGATCCAGATTGATATTGACAAACTTGAACACTGGGCCCTCTCTAACAAAATGAAATTCAATGTAGAAAAATAGTAAAGTATTACACTTAGGCAAGAAAAACCAAAAGTACACATATAGACTAGGTGAAAGTAAGCTTAATAACAGTAAGTGTGAGAGGGATCTTGGAGTCTTAGTGGATAATCAATTAAATATGAACCAATAATGTGCTGTGGCAACCAAAAAAACCCCAATGCAATCCTAAATTGCATTAACAGAGGGATACAATCAAGATCAAGTGAGAAAGACCACACCTAGAATACTGCATCCAGTTTTGGTCACTACACTATAAAAAAGATGTTGAGACTCTAGAAAGAGTGCAGAGAAGAGCAAACAGAATGATTAGGGGAGTGGAGGCTAAAACATATGATGAACATCATAACGAGTCTAGTGAAGAGAGGGACTATGGGAGACATGATAGCAGTATTCCAATATTTGAGGAGCTGCCACAGAGAGGAGGAGGACAAGCTATTTTTCAAAGCACCTGAAGGCCAGGCAAGGAATAATGGATGGAAAATGAAAAAGGAGAGAGTCAAGGAATAAGAAGTTTTCTGACAATGAGAGCAATCAGTGGAACAGCTTGCCTTCAGAAGTTGTGGGAGCTTCATCACTGGAAACTTTCAGAAAGAGACTGGACTGCCATCTGTCAGAAATAATGTAGGCTATCCTGCTCAGGTGGGGCGGGGTGGTGGTGGTGGACTAGATGATCTACAAGATCCTTTCCAACTCTCATAATCTGTAATCTTTCTTTTTAAATGCAGATTAAGGAAGAATTTGAAATCATTCATCATAGTTCACCCTTCTTGGTTTATAAGGACAATTCTAGCTGTCACACGGCCATTTATAAGGTCAGACATGATCACTTTTGGACTTTCTAAAATACTGAGTTTTTGCATGATCAGGAACTGCTTTGATTGTGAGATAAGCAGTTGGGGAAGTAAAGAACAGCTTCTGATTCAGCTTTGTGCTGATATGGCTCTTTAAAATGATACATATATTTGTTTAATTTTACCATGAGTAACATATACAAGAAATAAATTTATCATTTCCTTATAATAATTATGTTTTAAATTTCTATATATGGCATTATTACAGAATAATTTATGCAGATTTAATAGGTTGATGCAGGCAAAATGAGTGCTTGTTCTTTTTCTATATAAACTAAGGGATAAGAAGTCCCTGCCTAGGTATCACCTACTGTGTTTCCCCGAAAATACGACCTGTCCTGTAACTAACGCCTTGCCACATTTTCGCATGGGCAAAAATATAAGCCCCCCCCCCAAATAAGTCCCCTGGCCAGGCAGAGCACCGCTCACGACCTAACGATATCCCGAAGGTACCAAGCCGCGAGCATAACTTCTTCTCCGGCTTCCAAACTCCAAAACTTGGCTGCCGAATCTTCCAGCAGCGGCCGCTCTAGGAGTGCACTCTATGGTTGTGGGCTGGCTGCTGGAAGACTCTGTCCGGAAGACTCACCGTCCGGCAGCCACTCCACAACCATAGAGCGTACTCCTAGAGCAGCCGCTGCTGGAAGACTCGGCAGCTGAGTTTTGGAGTTTGGAAGCCGGAGAAGAAGTTATGCTCGCGGCTTGGTACCTTCGGGATATCGTTAGGTCGTGAGCGGTGCTCTGCCTGGCCAGGGGACTTA